ATCAGGGCCGACTGTATGTCAGGCAAGTTTCTTAACCCCTGTCCTATCTCTCTGGCCTTTCAAGTTTTACTCTTTCTTTCCCTTCCCCCTGCAACAGTGGGGCTGGAGTGACAGCACAGCAGTAGGGCGTCCACCTTGTGCGCAGCCAACCCGGCCAAGCCGGGTTCGATTCTTCTGCCCCGCTCGGAGAACCGGGCAAGCTACCAAGAGTATCTCGCCTGCACGGCAAAGCCTGGCAAGCTACGTATTCGATATGCCAAACACAGTAACAACAAGTCTCAAAATGGAGACATTGCTGGGCCCACTCGAGCAAATCGATGAACAACGGGAGGACAGTGACAGTGACAGTGACCTGCAACAGTGGGGCCATGCTGCAACACACAGCACTCAGGCAGTCTTTCTGGAGAGCCCGGTGTAATGGAGTTAAAGAGCGAAACCAGAATAATTATAATGACAGGAAAACACAGGAGCAGAGGGCAGGACAAGCTGTGGTTTGGAAACATCTCACTCTAGAATAATCAGTGAGGAGTCCCAGCTAGAATGCAAATGAGCTCTGGACCTCCCACCCACTCCAGCCACCCCAAACCTCCATTCACATTCTGTCCACAGTCTGCTTGAGACCATGGACTTCATGTCCGAGCATTTGCATTTCTACAGCAGCAGAGGCATAATTCTCCGCCCAGAAGTTCAAACTGCAGAGGTTCAGGCACCCTGAACAAAACAGCAGAGGCTGTTCCCACAGCCCGGGGCCCAGAGGGTGCTGGAGCCAGGCCTGCGGGGAAACCAGCTCTTCAGTCTCTGATGCCATCTAGTGGTGCATTCCACTTCCAACACCGCTTCTTCCAAAAATCTGAGCTGGAAACAGAGGGTAGGGAGCTTAGCTTATAGCTCTGGACCGGAGTTCCATGCCAGGCACCCATATGGTTCCTCGAGCACTGCCAGGAGTGATCCCTGAGCTCAGAGTCAGGAGTAAGCCCTGAGTACATCTGGATGTGACCCCAAAACCAGGGGTAGAAAAAAAGGTCTTTCTTTCTAACCCATAGCTCTGTTCCACATGCACTAAAATGAGACATCCCTGGTCTCCAAACACTCATCTTCCTGGCTCAAAATCCTACCGTGACCTTTACACAGTATGGCCTTTCTTACTTCTTGGAACTCTCCCGAGGCTGCCATTACATTCAGAGTTCTTCTCTGGGTCTCTAAGGCATTCCTGGACCTGACATCTGGTCTCTAACCCTGTGTATCGGTCTTCTTGTTCCTCCAACACCCAGGCCTCTGCAGAGTTATCCAATCTCCTTGGAGCATCCTTTCAGGCAAGAAAAATCAACTTTCGTTTCAATTTTCTGACCAAGAGTCACTCACTTCAATGACCTGGGACTTGGGGATTTATTTTATTTTGGGACTTGGTTGGTTTTGCCACCCCCACTGTGTTCAGGGCTTACTCCAAGCTCTGTGCTCAGGGATCTTTCCTGGTGAGGCTCGGGGGAACTGATGTGGTGCCAGGAACTAACCCCAGGTCAGCCATATGCAAGGCATGCGTCTTATCAGCTGTACTACCTTTCTGGCCCCAGTGGCTCTCCTTTAAAACTACTGCCTACTACATTCATTTGGGTAACATAAAGTAACAAAACAAGAGACTAACACCCGAGAACAGCTGTGATAAATACCAGGTTGTTCACTCCATGGCTTAGAGGCCAGCTGCACACTTCAGGGGTAAAGTCAGCTCAGATAGAAAAGGGAGCACCAAATAAAGGGTGCTGGGAAGATCTGCCCAGGATGGGAGATGCCTGCTGAAAGTAATCTATGGACCGAACATGATTGCCACCCAATGTCTCTTCTGCAGATCACAGCACCCAAAAGGAGAGACAGAACAAAAGGGAGTGCCCTGACACAGAGGCAGGGTGGAATGGGGATGGGGGGTGGGTGGGAGGGATACTGGGATTGGTGGGGGTGGAGAATGGGCACCGGTGGTGGGATGGGTACTCGATCATTGCATAACTGAAACCCAAGCACAACAAGTCTACAACTGTACCTCATGGTGTTTCAGCCCGGCAAGCTACCGAGAGTATTCGATATGCCAAACACAGTAACAACAAAGTCTCCAATGGAGACGTTACTGGGCCCGCTCGAGCAAATCGACGATCAATGGGAGGGCAAAAAAATAATTAAAAAAAATAAAAAATAAAAAAATTTTTAAAAAACTACTGCCTACTAGGCTGACACCTAAGGATAGCAGATACATGGTACAGATAGATTGCTCCATAGCTGGAAGCCTGCCTCATGAGCAAAGGGGAGAAGGCAGCTGGAATAGAGAAGGGATCATAAAGAAAAAGATGGCTGGAGGAATCGGTTGGGATGGAAGATGTGTGCAGAAAGTAGATAAAAGACCAATGATAACCTCTCAGGGTCTGTATTGCAAACCATAAAGGTGCTGGGAAGATCTGCCCAGGATGGGAGATGCCTGCTGAAAGTAATCTATGGACCGAACATGATTGCCACCCAATGTCTCTTCTGCAGACCACAGCACCCAAAAGGAGAGACAGAAGAAAAGGGAGTGCCCTGACACAGAGGCAGGGTGGAATGGGGATGGCCAAAAGTAGAGAGAGATTATAGGGAATCATGTCTGCCATGGAGGCAGAGGGAGGGTGAAAAGGGGGAGGGGTATACGGGGGATATTGGTGGTGGGGAATGTGCACTGGTGGAGGGATGGGTGTTTGATCATTGTGTGATTGTAACCCAAACATGAAGCTTATAACTATCTCATGGTGATTCAATAAAATTTAAAAAAAAATACTGCCTACTGAGCCCCATCCTGTTTCCTTTTTTTTTTTTTATCTGCTTGTTCTGGGGCCATCCAGCAGTGCTCAGAGGCCACTCCCAGTGGAGCCCCAAGGATCTTGTGGTGCTGGGGAAAGAACCTGAGCCTCTTGCACGCAAGCATGTGCTCTTGCCCGCTGAGCCATCTCTCCAGTCCCCCTCCTCAACGTTTTCCTTAGCAATTGTAACTTCTATTTTTCTTCTCCTTCCCTTCTCCCCACCCTTGTTGTTTTTCGGCAGTTGTTGCAATAATAGAGACAAGATGCACTTGATTTTTGTGCTCATCCCTAGTTGTGCACATCAGAAATCACATATTACTGTGTCCCCAGCATCCCAGGTAGCATCCCAGGCAGGTGTGGGGTGATGCCAGCGATTAAACTCAGAGCCTCATGCTTGCAAAGCAAGCCTTTTTTTTTTTTTTTTTTTTTTTGCCAATGAACCACCCCTACTATGATCACTTTGAGCACAATAGATTTTTTTTTCTGCTTTACTACAGTTTGTTTACTACATTTTTATTTTCTCCTCTTCCCTTTGTTGTTGTGGGTGTTGCAGTGACCAAAGTTGGCACACACAAAAGTGGTTGTGACACTCACATATTTCAGATGTGGTGCTCAGCAGGAATCACACATCAGGCTAGGGTGCTATATTCTCACCAAGATTGGCACTCCTTTCGGTTATGGATTTGCATATGCATATGCCAGGGGTAGCTGCCTTTATCTGAGGCAGATATTATGGCAGTGGTTCTCACCTGGGGTCCCTGTGCTCACACACATGCATGCCAAGGATCACACTTCCAGGCCATGGTGCTCACACCTCTTTTTCATCGTGGTGCTCAGCGGTGCTTGCACACACCTAACTGTGTTGTAACCAGAAATCACTTGCAGTGTGTTCACAGACAGGAGAACTACCAGGATCACATCTGGCCAGGCAGACAAGAGGAATTTAGGCTCTGGCAGGGCAGGCACTCTAAGCCACTGCAATATCAAGCCACTCAATATTCTTCTGAGCTCCCTGCATTTTTTTCTTTAAAATTTTTCCCCTTTCCTTTCCCTCTTGTTGTGGCTTTGGGGACCAGGGGATCACTGCACACTTGATGGGGGTGGTCCCAGAGATGCACCTCTTGGCTGAGGTCTGGAATCCCAAACAGCGGTGGGGTGGGATGGTGCCATATCTTACTCATATCTTCATGCCTACAAATCAGGTGCTCTACCATGAGTCATTCCCCAAACCTAGACTCATTCATTTACTTGTAGGTCACACTGACGGCCAGGGGCTACTGTCCTGCAGTGTTTGGGGAGGGGGCAAGCAGGTGTTGAGATCAAACCTGAGGCTTCTTCGGGCATGACATGCATTCCTTCCCACTGAACCACTTCCTAGATTTTTGTTTGTTTTCATTTGTGCTCCACAGCCTGCGGTGCTCAAGAGCTTCTCCCAGCTTTTTGTTTACAGGCCCCCGCCACCCCCCGCAGTGGTGCTCAGGGGCATTCGTGGATCAAGCCCAGGGCCTCACACATGTGAGGGGAATGCTACCACAGAGCCGCACACCCAGCCCTAGATTTTTTTTTCTAGATTTTGTTTTTCTAACTGAATGCTAATTCTATAATGCAAGGGATTTTCTTTCTCTTTTGTTCCTGCTATATTTATCTATCCCAAGCACCTTGGCATGTAAATATCTGTTGGCTAGTTGAACAGAGCTGAACCTGAGATTCCTTAAAAGCACAAATATTACTTATGTCCAGCCTTCCCACCCATAGACAGGGATGCCACTCTGTCTCTGTGGCTCAGTGCTTCCAACTGCAGGGACAGCAATGCCCCACTCTCCACACAGCTGTAACTGCCTACGAGGGTGAAGGGAGGGAGAAGGGCGCACATGGCAAGGAGGCTTTAGGCCGGTCAGAATGCACCGCAGTCAGACAACAGCATTCTCAAATTCGAATAGCCTTTCGTGCAAGGAGGGAGGGGAAGAGTGAAGGATGGGAGGTGTTGGGGCCTTCTCCAGGTAGAGTCCGATGATCTTGGTACACACCTGGGACTGAAGGGGCCCAGAGGAGTGAGTTATTGTAGACGAGCTGAGCTGGGGTGGTACTGGGCATCCGGACAGCAGTGATTCACCCACTTCCCTGTCTCGTCCGTTTCCTCCTAAAGATAAGCCAGAAGTCCCAGTGGTAAGAAACTATACAAATGGGGTGGGCTCAGGTCCCAGGCCTGAAGTCATGGCTCCTCTGTTTACAACACACGCAGCTGGAATCTGAGCTCAGTGACAAGGAGCACAAAACGTGTTATGTCCTATGAACACATGCCCACACACAAGGTGAAGTACTCCAACGAATGCATCACTACTGGACATTTCAGAGGAAGTAAGAAAGGAAGGAAAGAGGAAGGGAGAAAGGAAAGAAGCAAAGAGAGAAGGAAAGAAGGGAGGGAGGGAGGGAGGGAGGGAGGGAGGGAGGGAGGAAGGAGGGAAAGAGGGAAGGAGGGAAGGAGGGAAGAGAGGGAAGGAAGGAAGGAAGGAAGGAAGGAAGGAAGGAAGGAAGGAAGGAAGGAAGGGAGGGAGGGAGGGAAGGAGGGAGGGAGGGAGGGAGGGAAGAAGGAAGGAAGGGAAGGAAGGGAAGGAAGGGAAGGAAGGGAAGGAGGGAAGGAGGGAAGGAAGGGCGGAAGGGAGGGAGGGAGGAAGGAAGGAAGGAAGGAAGGAAGGAAGGAAGGAAGGAAGGAGGGAAGGGAGGGAGGAAGGAGGGAAGGGAAGGAAGGGAAGGAAGGGAAGGAAGGGAAGGAGGGAAGGAAGGGCGGAAGGGAGGGAGGGAGGAAGGAAGGAAGAAGGGAAGGGAGGGAGGAAGGAAGGGAGGGAGGGAGGAAGGAAGGAAGGAAGGAAGGAAGGAAGGAAGGAAGGAAGGAAGGAAGCTATTCAAAGCTCCTATTCTCTCTGTCTCAGGTGGGAGAAAAAAGCAGTTCTTTACCAGCACAGTTGTTGCTCTTTTCTGGATCACAAATACAGAGAGAATTAATGACAACTCTTCCTGAAATTCTTTTGGGTTGACTCTTGGGTCAGGTGTTTCATTACTCATCAAAACCATGTGACCAGGGGGACGAGAAATAGAATAGCAGGTAGCATACTTGCCTTGCATCCGGCTGAACTGGATTCAATCCCCAGTCTCCCATGTCATCCCCCCACCCACCAAGCCTAATAGGAGAGATTCCTGAGCATAGAAGCAAGAGGAAGTCCTAAACATTGCCAGATGTGACCCCCCAAAAAACAAACAAAATAAAAAACATGTAACCATACCAGAAGAGATAGCTCAATGGGCTGAGCTGAGCACATGCTTTGCCTGCAGGAGGCCAGGTTTGACCCTCAGGACCACCTGGAGTGACCCCTGAGCACAGAGCAAGGAGTAGCCTTGAGCACTGCCAGAAGGGGCCCCAAACCAAAGCAAAACAAAGCCCCTGTGACCAGGACACAGATCTTGCAGGTGAGGATTTCAGCTTCCTCATTGCTGGACTTGTTTAGACAGGTACACTAGCTCCACAGGCATCCCTCCAGCCTTGTCGTGGCGATGCCTGAACCTGATTCATTTCCTGACGCGGGATATTGCCAGCCACGCGCAGACAGAAGCCGCGTACTCCGGCCTGTGTGGAGGAGAGGGGTGTGGAGCCGGAGGCCTTCAGAAAGCTGAATCCCAGTGGTCAAAGACACCGCGCCAGGATTCCGTGAGCAGGTGAGGCCTAGGTGGGACACCAGGGAAACGAGGGGCCTGAGAAGGGATTGTTTGAAACCACCCTCGGGAGAGTGACCAGATGGAAAAGGAACTCTGGGCCGGGGAACACACCTAGGGTCCTTAGGGAAGAGGAGAGTGATTGGGGGGTGGAGACTAAATGGGGAGAAGGAGGAGATGGGAACAGGGCCATGGAGGGGAGGGGACAGAGAAAGAGTTGGGGACATGAGAACACATGAGAGGGTACAGGAGGGAGAGAAGCTAGAACGGGAGGGGCAGAGGACAAAATGAAAAAGATGGCTGGAATTTGAGATGAATGGACGATCCTTTCATCAGGCCTAGGAGCTGGGATCACAGGGTCTGTGGGCAAACAAAGGAGGGGAATGGGGTGCCATCAGGGTGATGATCAGAGCAGCTGTGTTAGAGAAAGCTGATTCCTCACCACCTCCTTCTCTGGACCCAGCCTCCATTCTGACTGCCCACACCCCCAGGAGAGATGGTACCTGCCAGAACACAATCCTGCCCCCTGCTGCTGCTCCTGCTGCTGGCACTGTCGGTGGTCCAGCACCCCATCAGCGCCAAACCCCAAAACATGACCTCAGCTCAATGGTTTGAAACTCAACACGTGCAGCTGAGCCCAAAGAGATGCAACATGGCCATGAGACCCATCAACGAGGACAAGGAACGCTGCAAGAACCTCAACACCTTCCTGCATGAACCCTTCTCCAGCGTGGCCAATACCTGTCAGACCCCCAACATAGCCTGCAAAAACGGGAGAGATAATTGCCACCAGAGCCCAGAGCCAGTGTACTTAACCAACTGTCATCTTGTCTCAGGAAGGTACCCCGACTGCAACTACAAAGATAAGCAAATGAATGCGTCCTTCATCATTGCCTGTGACCCTCCTGAAGAAAGGGACCCTTGGAAGTTGCCGCTACTTCCTGTACACTTGGACAAAGTCATTTAGGTCTGCAGCCCTCCTCCTGATTGAGCTGTGCCTGAAATCTTTACCAGGGCTCAGCACCATTCCTAAGCCCAGAACGTTCTCTTCCCCTCATCTTCCAAACTTCCCCCCAAACTTACGCCCCTCCTAGCTTAAGTTTCTCTGAGAGGAGGTGAGAGGAGATTGACACCTCGGGAGACTGAGGTCCAAAAGAGCTCCAGTTCTTTTTTGTTGCTTCTCTCCAAGAGTGGGTCTGAGCAAGTGACAGGGTGTGTGGGTTCCCTAGTCTGTGTCTTCGTACTTCTCTTCCCTGCCCCGCCTTATCATGGCCACTGAACATGAGGAAGAAACAGTAAGAAAGACAGGATGGAATTTAGGGACAGGGCACCTCCTGTCCTTCAACTCTTTGTCTTCCTCAGCTCAGACGTGGCGGTGGGGTGACCCGTGCACAGAGGAGGTAGGAAGAGAACCCGGAGACATAGCAGCACCTCCTTGTGTTTGTCTAGCATTTCATGGTGTTGCCACAGGAAGCCCCATGAGATAGGCTGACAGGGATGACTTGCTGTCTCCAGGGATCAGGAAATTGAGATTTCATAAAGTTTATTGGTTTATTTATTTTATTTTTCGTCACACCCAGCGATGCACAGGGGTTCTCCTGGCTCATACACTCAGGAATTACTTCTGTCGGTGCTCAGGGGACCATATGGGATGCTGGGAATCAAACCCAGGTTGGCCACGTGCAAGGCAAATGCCCTACCCACTGTGCTATCGCTCCAGCCCCGAGATTCCATAAAATATAATTAAAGAGCTTGCCAGCTTGGTGAGTAGATGAACCTGAGTTGAATCTAGGTCTCCTTACTCTAAATAGAGTGCCCTGTCTACTTTACCATTGGCTAAAAAGAAGCAATGCTGTGGGGAGAAGAGAATTAGGTAAGAGTTCACGTGAAGAAATATACCCTGAGAGCTCGGAGGAGTCAGCTACCCTGTGTTGGCCACAGTAAAGGTCACTCATTACCTCTCTAGCCAAGGGACTGTGTATGAGATGCTTCCAGGGATCTGAATTCTCTCTCTCTCTCTCTCTCTCTCTCTGTCTCTCTCTCTTTCCCCCCTTCCTTCCCTGTACCTCTCCCTCCCTCTAAACTCCCTTCTCCTTCTCCAGCCTGCTCCTCTTTGACCTGGACTCTGGGCCTGATTCTGACTATCCCGTTGGCTTGAAGACCTAGACATAGGGGAGTGTCCCAACTTCATCCCCTTGCTCCAGGATCACATTTCCCTTGACCTCAGTGGACTTCCGTGCCCCAAAGCCTGCTCGTCACAAACAGGCTGGTGGGAGCTGCCAGAGCAAGCTTCCTTCCTCCTGATAATGATCTCTCCTGCCTCGGTGCTTCCCTGGCTCTCCACCCTGGCAATCTGCCCAGGCCTGAGGGTTGAAATGGGGAAATGCCATCTCCCTGTCCCCCCTGGACTACCGATACTGTTCCTCCCTCCCTCCTGAGTTGAGCTGGAGACAATCTGGCTTCCTGTTGGTTCATCCAGGCAGCCCCTCACTCTGAGCCTATAGTCCTTACCATCCCTGCCCCTTCTCTCCTTTCTCAGTCCCAGGTAAAGTGCGTCTCACTGTCAGCCCACCCGGCCTCAGCACTCGACTACCTCATTAGACCTTTTTGGCCCAGTTACAAGTGTCCTTTCTATCTATCCTGCCCCCAGAACTCCTGTGCTCCCTTACTGATTACCAGAGTCAGAGAGCATTTTGGAACAAAACAGAACTGATTATAATTCTTTGTCTCCACTTCTGGCTACTTCTGAACACACTTCTGAGCCTCTCCGCAACTGTCTTTCCATATAGCAAAGTGGGAACAATACCACTTACCCGATAGGATCACAGAAGATTTGGAAATGGCACTTCTAAAGCCTTAGTCAGGGGGGCCTGAGCGATAGCACAGTGGGTAGAGCATTTGCCTTGCATATGGCTGACCTGGGTTTGATTTCCAGCATCCCATATGGTCCCCCGAGCACCGCCAGGAGTAATTCTGAGTGCAGAGCATGAGTAACCCTTGTGTATCGCCAGGTGAGACCCAAAAAGCAAACCAGTAGTAGCGATATTCCTGTCTAGTCAGATCCACCTTTTGGAAATACTCAGACCAAGGCAAATGAACAGCTCACTCAACTATCAATTATCAATTATCCTTGAGGGCTCTCTTTGCTGGAGTCATTCCCATGTTCTGTATGTAGAGTACAAGCCTACAGGCTGAGTCTGGCTAAGTGGAATGGTTGGTTTGACATCATGAGGAAAAAAGGGATGGCAGAAAGAAAAAAGGGTAGAACATTGAATAGTTGAAGATGAGTGTGAGGCCAATGAATTGAAAATAGAAGTGTACTAAATTTAATACATCATGGCCAAATGCCAAATGACTGAGTGTAAAATCTATATATACTCTGGTCACCATACTATTATTACTATGATGATTTTTAACCAAGGCGCATAGAAAAACAATGTCCTTGATGATAGTTGATGTTTATCTTCACTTTATTCCTTGTTTCACAATTCTTTAATACTCTTTATTGGTTATTTTTCTGACAATTTTGAAGACATCCTAGCAAAATTTTGAAGTTGCTAAATTTTTGCATTTAATGCAGCCTCTCAAAATGAGGATTTCCAAACAGGGCATTTTGTGAGAGACTCATGACATAAATTGTATTAACTATAAATAAGCATAATTCAAAAGTAGTCTGTGATGATAGCTGCAGAATAGTGGTCGCCTGAGGGAATATTATCTGGGAAAGGTTAAGAGGTAAATTGAAAATGTTCTATTCATGGTCTGGAGATTTTTACTTTTTGAAATCTCTTTGATCTATATGTTAACATTTGAATACTTAACTGAATGCAGTTTGTACACAATTAAAACATTCTCCTAAAAGCATCATTCTTCCTGTTTTTTCCTTTTAAAATTGTTTTACCTTTAATTTTCAATCTTACAGAATCTCATAGCCTAAAGCCTGTCTCTGTATGTGTGCAGGATTCATCAGACCCTCCACCAAAGTCCCAGTCCAACCCACCACCAAAAACAAAGCATAGATTATTGTATCTAACATGATAAATGCTAATACATTCATTTTTGCTATTAATATCATGATAAAATTATAATATCTCATTTCTATTATTCTACCTCATACTATTAAATAGTACTTATACTAATTATAATGTCATACTTGTTCAAAGGATACATAGTTCTTCCTAAAATTCTTCTAACATAGTATCTCCAATTATTGTTTATATTCATTGTCAATTAATTTTTCTATTTTTAACTGTGAAAAGCCTTCATTGTTTTAAATATACTACAAACTTTCATAAAGATTATTAAACATTTTAATTTGAATAATCTATTTTATTTTATACTTATTTCCATTAAACAATAGAAATCTGACACTTTTAAAACATTCAGAAGGAAAATACTCTAAGTTGGCTCTAGAATGTTCACCAATGTTTCAAAGGACTTCAGATATTAGCAATCAATTCAAATGACCTAGCTTGTTCTCATGACTGATGATTTAACTGATTAATTTTGACAGTCACCCATTCCTTCACATGATCCTGATCACAGCCAAGTTTAGGGATGCCAGGAAAAATGTTGAAATAGGCATTTGGTTATTCAGACTTCTAAAGGCCAAAGCTAAGGTCCAAAATGAATAACAGGTTCGGGCCAAATACCAAAGCTGGCTGAATTCTTCATGCATTCTCACTCAAAAGTTGAAGAGTGGGTAAAGGAGACGGATTAGAAAAGATTATAAACAAAAGATCTTTGTTGCTGGGGTATAAAATTAGAGAGGGTTAGGATGTGTAGATGGCTTTAAAGAGAATTATTTGAGCCTCAAACTAAAGATCAGAAAAGGAGTCCAGTGACCAGAGAGATAGTCCAAAGGGTTGGCATGTGTGATTTTCATTGTAATCCCTGCGACTATATGGTCCCACAAGCACTGCCAGAAGTGACCAGCAAGAATTGAGCCAGGAGGGGCTGGAGCAATAATACAGTGGGTAGTTGCCTTGTATGCAGCCGACCCAGGTTCAATTCCCAGCATCCCATATGGTCCCCTGAGCACAGCCAGGAGTAATTTCTGAGTACAAAGCCAGGAATAACCCCTGTGCATTGCTGGGTGTGACCCAAAAAGAACAACAACAACAACAAAAAGAATTGAGTCAGGAGTAGCTCCGGGCACAGCCAAGTATGGCTCCAATATCCTTATAACACGCCCCCTCCACCCACCACCCACCCCCGCCAACAGAAATGGAATTCAGTAAAGAAAGTAGCACAAAAAATAGAGTTAGTATGAGTTGAATTTTCCTTGGCATGAGACTATCTGGAAGGAGGTTTTTCTACAGGTCCCTGGTTCCCTGGAAGCTCTACCCTCTCAAGAAAAAGGTCCATAGACACTATGGAAAGGACTATGAACTCAAGGGCGGGGGAGGGTTGATGAGAGGGGTCCTGTCTCAAGGGCACAATCACAATGTAGGAAATGCCTTTGGAAAGAGAACACCCTGATCTGCCTTCGATTCGGCAAGCCTTCTTCAATGTGTCTAAGACACCTTGGGATAAGCCCAAAGCCCTGGTAGTGGAAAACAACATCCAGGTAGCAAGATTCAAGGAGCCTTCTCTCTGCAAGAGATTTGGGCCACTTCAGCCCATTTCTCCCCTACTCCTGCATAACTGAGCTTCCAAAAATGCCCTGAAAATTCCATAGCCTCACTCTGTGAAAGTGCTCCTCCTACTCATCACACATAGAAGGGCAGAAATCACACACTACAGTTCTTACCAGAATGCTTCCACTACCCTCTGCAGTGCCCCAAGCCTTCCCAATGCTAAGGATTATCCTTGGAATGAAAAGACCATGAAAGGGTAGAGCGTTTGCACACGGTCAACCTGGGTTCAATCCCCAGCATCCCATATGGTCCCCTGAGCACCACCAGGAGTAATTCCTGAGAGCAGAGCCAGAAGTAATCCCTGAGTATCACAGGTGTGGCTCAAAAACAAACAATAAAAGTGCATGGAAAGCTCAACTGCTGATGAGACATTATAGATAGTCCATTGCTCCTACTGGGGAGGTAAGGACACATGTTTACCCACAATTACCCACAATGGAAATACACCCTACATAGAGTCCCTCTGACTTCCACAAATGGAAATTTCCACATCCATAGAAAGCCAATCTACTTCATAGAGAGAGCAGCCAGATTTAATGTGACAATATGCATAAAGCACTTAGTACTGAGGCTGGCATGTAGGAAACATCTGAGAGGTGTTATCACTTATATTTATTACTGCGGTGTCAAATGTTGAGTGGCCAAACCTGGGATGGATGCAGCAGGCCTGACTTCCTTGACAGAAGAACAAAGGACTTAAACAAAAGAAGCCAAACCCCTCCTAGGCCTCTCTTGGCCAAAAAAAGTTCTGAGCCAAGGATAGATAAGGTTAGGTCCAAGGTCAGACAAAAGGACAGCAAGCATTCGCTTCTCTAAGTGAGGCAATTTGGAGTGGGATGAAGCAGGGAATATTTTTATGAGAACAAAACAAAACTAAAAGGATACTTACCATGATATTTAAGGGAGGTTTTCTCATCTATACCATTCATAAATCCAAAATAGAAAAAAAAAAAGGCAGAAGAATTAGGGCCACTAACTTTTTTTTTTAATTTTTAAAAATTTTATTTATTTATTTTTGCTTTTTATTTATTTATTTATTTATTGAATCACTGTGGGAAAGGTTACAAAGCTTTCAGGTTTAGGTCTCAGTCATGCAAATATCAAACACATTTCCCTTTACCAATACTTATTTTTTACCATGAAGAACCCCATAAGACCCCACCCCCCACCCCTCCCAGTCCCTGTGAGGCAGATGAATTCTAGTTAACACTCTATCTGCTTTGATTAGATTCATTGTTTCATTAAAAGATTCATCACTATTATTTAGAGTTTACCCCCCCCAAATCAGACATGCTGAAAAAGCATTGTGAAGTGATTTGCTTTCTACAGCTGGGTTCAAGAATTAAATGTTGGTTTTGGATTTCTGCTATTTTACTTATTGACCCTGGAAGTATTTCTACTGAAAGTCAGATAGTTAAGAAATTGGTTTCTGTGCTCTGGAGTCGTGGCCGTGCTGGAGAGCCGCTTGTGGGGGGCAACTGGTGGCCTCGGTAGGGCGTGAAGGACGGACCGGAACACCCCCCTTCCCATGAGGTTTTAGTCGCCCCCACACCCCCGGCTCATACCTGCTGTCCACAAGGCTCCCATGCAGCCGCCATCTTTCTTTCCAGGGAGGAAAGGGCGAATGGGGCAACACCCTTTCCCCTCTGGACAGACATGATGGCCTGGATTAACGAACGCATAGTCCGTTCACTTTTCTGCTCCAAGCTGCCGGGTTCTGCATTAAGTCCTTGTGCTTCTGGGGCCATGGCTGTGCTGGAGAGCCGCTTGCGGGGGGCAAATGGTGACCTCGGTAGGGCGTGAAGGACGGACCGGAACACTCCCCTTCCCATGAGGTTTTAGTCGCCCCCACACCCCCGGCTCATACCTGCTGTCCACAAGGCTCCCATGAGGGCCACTAACTTTTGAAGGTGTCCTCCATACCCATTCTTTTCCAGATGTTCAGTTTTTACAGCAATGGATGGAAAAAGGTCTCTACTCAGAGACACAATTTCTGAGACATTTAATCAAGTCAATAGTTAAAGCTACTATCCCTTCACTCCTTCATGAAGACCACTTACATTTCTCACACTCTGACTCATCTCTTCTCCTTAGTTTGACTTCCACCTCAATGTATTTCCCATGAAGCATTGATCTTCCACAAATACCCGTGGCTCATGGCCCTCCTCCACTGGTTTCCATTGGATTACTTACAGTGAGAAAACATCATAAGTTACTCTTTTCTATGGCCATTACACAAAAACTTAATTGAACTTACATTAAAAACATAAACTGACCTTCGTGTAAATTAGGACAAATTCCTACTTAAACTGTGGCATTTAGCACAAGATGGAACTTGACAGCTGCGTAGCTTTAGCTTTGCTAAAACTTGGCTCTCTTTCAGTAGGAATCCATAAAATCATAATGTTGCAAGAAATTGTACCTAATGACTTCAGAGTAATCTTTAGTTCTGTCTTTTCATTGTGCCAGTGGGAAAGAAAAATAAGAGGAAGACCCAGAGGATTTAAAGACCTTGCCCAAAATTGCACAGTTAATTTAGTAAGATCTGTTTCTTGGCGGCAGGGGGCTGCCTCATTGCCCTAGAGCACATGTTTAGCATACAGAAGTCCCATATTTAGGTCCAGCATTGATTGTTACCCTAAGTAATGGCAGGAGCAACCTCTAAGGACTAAGTTACCAGTACCCCTGAGCACTGGGTATGGCTCAAAATCACAGAGAGATTGTACCTGAGATAAAGTGCTGGCCTTGTATGCAGTCAATCCCACTTTAATACCCAACACCACATATGGTCCCCTAAGCATTTCCAGAGGTGATCCCAGAGTACAGATCCAGGAGTAAACTCCAAGCACCACCAAGTGTGGCCCAAAAACCAAAAGAGAAGGTGGGGAGGTGGGGGGCGCTCAATTTAATATTGAGCTTCTTATTAATAGCTCCAAGTGGAGGTCAGACATTTTCCAAGGTCAAACTCAATTCAGGTCAACCTGAAAATCAATATATCCCTGAATATGAGAAAAGTCATGTTCAAACAAAACAATATTTAATACACATGATCTCGACATGTTTACATTGCTGCTTCTTACCTGTGGACCACATCTCTGTTACCTGAATGCTCACATTGTGTCAACGAAATGGAAAAAAATAACACCGAAGATGTTGATGGTAAATTGGTCAAGCATGTCCCTAGGTCATGTCATTGGCTGCTGGAGACATAAATAGGGGTACGTGCAAGGACAAAGGTCTCCACTTCCCATCTGACCACCAGACCTGAGTGAAACGATACAAAGGAGTTCCAGGTAAGCGAAGTTCCCGTTCTTCTCCTTAATGAGGAATCACCCTTATTTATCCTCAGAGTGGGAGCTTCCAGCCAGGATGGGTTCTTAAGGCCAACTATAGTTCACTGAGCAATGTTTTTAGGCTTTCCCCCAAAGTGCTAGTGATAGCAGAAGAGAACTAGTAAAAACAATCAAAGTCATGGCCAGCAAACATGAGATTTCTATCATGCCTCTTTCTTTTTTCTTATCTGGTGCATATTTTTAATTTTTGCTTTGTTTTGGGGTCACAGTCACCCAGTGCTCAATGGCTATACCTAGCTTAGTGCTTGGAGGTTGCTCCCAGTGGTGCTGGGGGACTACATGGTAGCAGGACCTCCTCCATGCAAAGCCTCTGTTCTATCCATTGAGATATCTCCTAGCACAGTGGGTAGGGCGTCTGCCTTGCACGCAGCCAACATGGCCGACCCGAGTTCGATTCCTCCGCCCCTCTCGGGAGCCCGGCAAGCTACCGAGAGTATTCGATATGCCAGACACAGTAACAACAAAGTCTCCAATGGAGACGTTACTGGGCCCGCTCGAGCAAATCGATGATCAACGGGAGGGCCTTTACTTTACTTTACTCGAGCAAAATTAAAAAATGTTGAGGCAGGAGGTTCTGGGGATTAAGCCCACATCTTCAAACATGCAAAGCATGCATTGTACCACAGAGCTACTAATATTTGTAGAATAAACATGCGCATAAATATTAAAGATTATCTTAGAATAAATATTTTAGGTTATCTTAGCATTTCCTGTGTGATAATAATTGATGGTTGTAGTGTGGCTATGTAGACAAGAGTACTTATAATGAAAAAAACAAACAATAATTTTAGTATTAAGGGACAGAGGGCATAATTATTCTCAAATAGTTCAGAAATGTTCAAAATTGAGGGATCTAGATGAAGTATCTAGGAAATTGTTATGTACTGTTTCTAAAACATATGATAAAACACATACTCTACGTGTTTTATAGCAACGTGTTTTATAGCACTGTAGCACTATCCTCCTGTTATTCATCAAGTTGCCCGGGCAGAGCCAGTAACGTCTCCATTGTGAGACTTGTTGTTACTGTGTTTGGCATATCAAATACGTCATGGGTAGTTTGCCAGGCTTTACCGTGCAGGCAAGATACTCTCGGTAGCTTGCTGGGCTTTCTGAGAGGGGCAGAGGAATCGAACCCAGCTGGGCCAGGCCGGCCGCACTCAAGGCAAATGCCCTACCGCTAGAAAGTTTTTCAAAAAAAAGTAGAAATTTTTATTTTATTAGTCTTAAGTAGAATTTTATTTTTAGCAATTTCTTAAATTAGCCCTTCTCCCTCAAAAAATTAAATTAGTAAAATTGTAAGAAAACACATTTATTGGGGCTGGAGCGATAGTACAGCGGGTAGGGTGTTTGCCTTGCATGCATGGCCAGCCCAGGTTCGATTCCCATCATCCCATATGGTCCCCCAAGGACCGCCAGGAGTAATTCTTGAGTGCATGAGCCAGGACACACCTGTACATTGCCAGGTGTGACCCAAAAAAGCCAAAAAAGAAAGAAAGAAAGAAAGAAAGAAAGAAAGAGAGAGAGAGAGAGAGAGAGAGAGAGAGAAAGAAAGAAAGAAAGAAAGAAAGAAAGAAAGAAAGAAAGAAAGAAAGAAAACACATTTATCTTGAGGCCTTTTGTAGCCTCTGAGCCCATAAATGTTTGTCTTAGCATAAGAGCCCTTTGGCCTCAATGGACCTTCCAGGGAAGATAATGAAAATCTGTAACTGGAGGTTCAAGCCCCAAAAACATGCTGGGAAAGTAAAAAAATAATTTGGGGCATGTGGGAGGGAACACTGTGGGAGATGGATAAACTCTAAAATACTTCCCAGTTCTGGCATTTTATGCAACTGGGTCCAGGTAAGGTTAATGAAATATCTTGAGGTGGTTAGAGAGATAGTAGGGTGGGTAAGGCAATTGCCTTGCATGGAGCTGACCCAGGTTCAATCCCTGGCATCCCATATAGTCCCTGAACATCACCAGGAATTATTTCTTAGGGCAGATCCAGGAATAAGGAATAAGCCGTGAGCATTGCCAGGTGTGACCCCAAAGAATAAAAACAAACAAATAATAATAATAATAGAAATAACCTTAACCTGGGTCGAGTTAGTGGCAGAAGAGGAAAGAGAATTTATGGCTATTTTATGTGCTATTGTGTGCTTGCCACTACACAATTTTAGCTCTGCAGTTTGATTCATCTTCAGGTAGAAAATGAAGTTTTACTGTGAGGGATGCATGGGTAAAAAAAAACCTAGGAAAAGGGCTCAGGGGGTTGACTGCAGATCCTGGATTCAATCCCCAGTACCACATGCCTAGTATGGTGGGGCAGGATGTAGGGGTGAAGCAGTGCCATGTTACTGAGCACCAAAATAATAACAGTGGTCCTGGGACCAGAGAATTAGACAGCAGGTAAGGTACCTGCCTTGCGAGTGGCCATCCTGGGTTTGATACTTGGCACTGCATACAGTCCCCTGAGCACTATCAGGAGCAATCCCTGAGCACAGAGCCGGGCATAAGCCTCTGAACAGCCAGCTATGGTCCCAAATACCCCACCACCACAGTACCCCCAGAGGAAAAAAACAGTGGCCCCGGAGTACTGGTGGGGATAATCAACAAGGATTAGTTTTGGAATGAAACAAACTTGTATTTGGATTTGATTCATAGTGAATAGAAGGTGTCAGATTGGAGTCAGATTGACCTGGCTTTGGGCAAATTTTTCCACTCCCCCCCACATGGACAATGTCATCTCATAAAAAGGTTAACTTTCTATTTTGTGAGGATGCTGCAAAGTAAGTGAGGGCATGATTTTAGTTATAAAATATCTCTCTTTGTCTCACATACACACACACACACATATTGTTTAGCCTGATTTCAGCCACAGAGGAGAACTTCTGTGAGGATGCTGCAAAGTAAGTGAGGGCATGATTTTAGTTACAAAATCTCTCTCTCTCTCTCTCTCTCTCTCTCTCTCTCTCTCTCTCTCTCTCTCTCTCACACACACACACACACACACACACACACACACACACACACATTGTTTAGCCTGATTTCAGCCACAGAGGAGAAAATAGTGGTAATGATCTGGTGAGCACAAGCACCAAACAATCAGAGCCGACACTGGCTCATGTATCAAAATGTCAGGCCAGTGCTCACAAGGTGAGTATGGCCCCCAACCCCAAAAAATGACTTAATAAATTAGCAGTATAGCAAAGAAACTACAGAACTCTGAAGCCAGACCTATGCCTTTTCTATCCCAGTCTGTCTCTTACTAAATCTATGACCTCAGAGTTTCTTTCCTTTCCTTTACGACTGGGATAAGAAACTGGAATGTAACTGAAATATAGATCAGAGAGATAGTAGGGTGCTTGTCTTGCATGTTAGTGGCAGACAAGAAATTAGGGGCAGTATTTCATCCTAGAACCCCATATGGTCCCATAGCTGGTCAGGAAAGATCCCTGAGTACAGAGCCAGAATAAGCCCTGTGCATGGTAGGTGTGGCCCAAAAATAAAAACAGAAAGAAAAAGATTCCCTCTCTTTCTTTTCTTTGGGGCATTATGATTTGCAATATGGGTACTGAGGGCCAGAGTGATAGCACAGTGGGTAGGGTTTGCATGCGGCCAACCCGGGTTCGATCCCGGGCATCCCATATGGTCCCCCAAGCAATACCAGGAGAAATTCCTGAGTGCAGAGACAGAAGTAACCCCTGCGCATCACTGAATGTGACTCAAAAACAAACAAACAAAGCAGGTACTGAAAGGTTACCATGTATATGCCTTTACCTCCTTTCAGCACTCAGTTCTTGTCCAAAGTGACCATTTCCAACTATTATTGTCACTGTGGTTCCATCTTTATCCTAACTGGCCTCCACTACCGACACACTTATGGCAAGCTTCCACAGGAGACAGAGACAGGGGCTGGAGCAATAGCACAGTGGGTAGGGTGTTTGCCTTACACACGGCCAACCTGGGTTCGATTCCCAGCATCACATATGGTCCCCCGAGCACTGCCAGGAGTAATTCCTGATTGAAGAGCCAGGAGTAACCCCTGTGCATCGCTGGGTGTGAAGGAAAAAAAAGAGACAGAGACAAAGAAAAGTGCCTGCCATACAGAAAGGAGAGGGGTGAGAGGGAAAACTGGGAACATTGGTGGTGGGAAATGTACACTGGTAAAGGGACTGGTATTGGAACATTGTATGACTGAAACCCAATCATGAACAACTTTGTAACTGTAAAAATTATAATAGTTTAAAGATAATTGAAATTTTTAAAAGCCCAGAATAAAATAAAAATTAAGGTAAAATGAATTTTAAAACATAAATAAATAAAATAGCTTCTAAGAACAAAAAAGGAAAATATATGGAATGTATGGAATGATAACTATTTTGTCTATAAAATTTCACATAAAGCCCAATGCCTTGGCATGCCATGAGCACATTTTTTTAAAGATTGTCTTTATTTATTTATTTCCTTCCATACTCAGCAGTGTGTGGTGTGACAGCCATGAAACTCATGACCTATGGGGTCAGAGCAATAGCACAGCAGACAAGGCACTTGTTCCGCATGCAGCCAACCCATGTGGTCCTGTGAGCATGGGAGTGATCCCTGGGTGCAGAGCCAGGAGTAAGTTCTGAGTGTGAAAATGAAAGAAAGAAAGAAACTCAAGGCCTCACACATGCAAGGCAGGTCTCTACCACTGAGCCAAATTCCTGGGTCCAGTAAGCACTTTTTTCAAATGATGTTATAATTCTTAATTGAGTTCCTAGCAGTGTACAGAACAGATATCAGATGCTCCCCTAACAGTGGTAAGTGGTACCCTCTCCTGCTAATGTACGGTCAGGTGCTGTACATTATTCAGACTGCCTAAAGGAAAGTAGTTATTATTACTCTCAAGACAACTGGCCCTAGAATGTCTGTGACCATGTTTATTTGTTTTACATCAATTTGGATTTCTTTTAAATGTCTATTCCTTCGCTCCCTCTCACCTCAGTGTTGATGTGTTGTTGCTGTGTGATGACCAGGGGTTGCACACCCACCTGGCTGCAGTGCCTGGACACTGTTAGCTGTGGTGCACACTGCAGGTTCCACATCAGGTGGCAGAGCTCCCACACTCCCACACATGGCTGCAGTGCTCACAGTAGTTGCGGCACATGCTTGCCAGGACTCTTAGTTGAGGCACACAAATTACAGTTGTGGTGCCCACTGCGGGGGGGAGGGGTTCACTGTGGTACCCTCACACCTACTTACACAGCGGGTGCTTTCTGGCTGTGGTCCTCACATATGTTTTCACTGTGGTGCATGCTGAGAGTTGCATCCTATTTTGTGCTATTCCTCATACCTGGCTGTGGTACGGCTGGAAATCGTGGTGGTTCTGGGGACCAAAGACAACAGAACTTCCAGGATCATGTTTGGCATGTGTGAGACACCAGAACTCAGGACCACAAACTTGCATGGCGGGGCTTTAAAGCCCAGCACTATTCCTCTGATAAGACCTTGTTTAATGCCATCATACCATACTGGGCACTTGACCACTTCTCACATCAAATTGAATACATAGTATATGTGTTCCACACACAATTCCATTCATGAAATGATTAACAAAATAACTTTAAAATATTTTATTGGGGGTGTAGTACAAGATAGTACAGCAGGTAGAATGCACGCTTTGCACACTGCTGAACCCAGGTTCAATTCCTGACACTCCATATCGTCCCCTAAGCCCACCAGGAGAAATCTGTGAGCACAGTCAGAAGGAAGCCAGGTGTGGCCTCCCAAAAATAAAACAAATAAAATTAAATATTTTATTCTAAAATTGTTTGAGTAGAACAATTTGTGGTTGGCACTGTTGTCTCTGCTTTCATGGTACTTGAGAACTCCTATAAAATCAAGAAAGTCTAATCTAAGAGATTATTTTCCTATGGTATAAACATTTAATGTATGACAAATTTCAAACTAAATAAAATCAATTTTATGTGGCAATAGTAACAGTAAGCAACTACTTTAAATTTGATTCGAAGTTGACATTTCCTATATTAGGTCATATTTCTCCCCTGTTTCAAATATTGTAGGACTTTGAGAACCTCCCAGACACTAGACACTGAGACTCTGGTGTTTAATGATTAAAACAGCCAAGACAAGGGCAACTGAGAAGATATAATAAATGACTAGGATCAAATATACAATCAAAGGAACTCCTCTCTCAGGCTTCTCTGGATGGAGCTTGCCAGTGGCAAAATCAACCGTGGTCTGAGGGAAGGCATGTTTGCAACTTAATTGAATTCAGAGCTTGCAAAGTCTGTGGCCAATCATCCTGGTCAGCATGAAATATCTGTGCCAGCCCTTAGCTCCTGCCACTGACCCCACCCTTTCACTCCAAAGTCCAGAGTCGTGGGTCTGCAACTATTAATGAGTCACTGGGTAATCGTTCCATCTCACCAGGAGAGGGGCAGAGGGGGCCTGTAAGGGAGAACTACAGAGATTGGCTCCATGAGGCCCAAGTCAACGGCTTGCTGGAAAACAGTTCTGGGTTTAAGACATCAGTGTTGGGGCCAGAGTGATAGTATAGCGGATAGGGCATTGCACGTGTCTTGCATGCAGCCAGCCTGGGTTCAATCCCTGGCATTCCATATGGTCCCCCACACAATGCCAGGAGTAATGGTAATTCCCAAGTGCAGAGCCAGGAGTTACCCCTGAGCATCACTGGGTGTGACTCAAACAAACAAACAAGCAAACAAAATCAACGTTTTGGTAGCTTTGGGGAGAGGAATGCCAAAGGGATCCCTACTATGGAAGGAAACTGGAGGCAGAAAGAAACATTGAAGAAGTTTCCCATCTGGCAATGCAGATTCTAGGAGTCCAAGGAAATTTTGCCTTTTTGCAGAGCTGCCCACCTCAGGTACCAAAGTCACAGACATCCCGGAGGTCTAGATTCTAAGTAGAGTCCAACACACTAACAGGGGCCTGAGAATCAGGAACACAGGTATGTTGCCCAAATTCAGTACCTTTGCTTCCTTCTCTGATAATTGTTGCACTGTCATTTACAGCCAATGTTATAACTCACTAAATAAAGGGGTACTCATTTAGTTCAAATAATTACTTTGAAAAGTTGCTTTCTTTCTCATCGCTATATTTTATTATTTTTATTTATTTATTTTTGAGATGCTGAGAATTGAGTCCAGAATCTGGTGTACACAAAGAGATCTACCACTGAGTCTCATCCTGGCCCATACCACCATATTTTAAGAATATTCATGTCACATTAAAGAGGGCCAGAGAGATAGTACAAGGTGTAAGTTATTTGCATTGTGTGCAGCTAATGAAGATTAGATCCCTAGCACCTCATATAGTCAGTCCTTCAAGCCCCAACTAGAATGATCCCTGAGCACAGAGCCAGGAGTAAGCCCTGAGCTCTACCAGATGTGACCCAAAAAAGTGTCATCCAACCTTTAAAAACTCTTTCCAGATACTGTTTTCAGAGATAGATTCACTCTGTTGTCTTTAACAAAAACGGGACAGAAATAGAGAACAGACCTTCTTCCTAAAACAGGAGGTTTTTCTCCTAAGTGTTATCAAAAGTACTAGAAGATAATTATTAAAGACAATATGCATGTACCACCCACAGCCACAGACCACACTCACCTAGCTCTGCCTCTTATGGAAAACACTTTCTCCTCCCTCTTCGGCCAGGCCCCAGACCAAAGGGGCAGGTTGGAAGCTCCAGGCCTAGCCCTGCAGCTCACTTGCTGAATTTGGGATGGGCACTTGCTCTTCTAGAAAATCACACTCATTCTTTCATCTGTAAAATATTGATTGAGATGATCGCTAAGGTCTCTTCTGGTTCTCACCCGCTACCATGACAAGACTTTCTCCCACAGGGCAAAATGGCACCATGGAAAGAACCCAGTTCCCCATGTTCCAGCTGGAGTGGCGATTCCCTTCTGGGAGTGTCTGTTTTTCCAGCTTCAGTCAGAAAACAGGCCACAGAACAGAGAGGAATGAGCTTGACTCCACAACCTTAATAATGACTCTTTCAGGAGTGCCTGAGCTGGCCAAGGAGAATGAAGTATAAACTCTTGGCATATTCTTCCAACAATAGTTAGTCTTTTTCTCAGTTTCAAAAAAAAAAAAAGAAACATGGGAATGTGGAAAGAATAGAGACTTGGGAAGCCAAGAGGCCTTGATTAAAATTCTGCATTCGACCCTGTGCAACGACAGGCAATTTTCTTGATGTTTCTCAACCCTGCCCATATGTATGTGTATACATAAATAAATAGATATATATTTGTGTGTATGTATATGCATATATATTTAATGTACTTTACTTACATCATAAAACCATTCTGTGATAAACATTGTAAGTACTCATCAAGGGCATAAAATAGAACACTATCTGTTGGGACTGAAGATTTAAAATGCCAGTGATTGGTAGCCAGAGAGATAGTACAGTGAGTAGGGCATTTACCTTGCATGCAGTGACCCAGATTTGATCCCCAGCATCCCATATGGTCCCCTGAGTCTGCCAGGAGTGATATCTGAGTAGCAGCAAGAAATAAGCCCTGAGCACTGCCAGGTGTGGCCCAAAAAATGAAAATGAAAATAAAATCCAGTGCTGTTCATAAAACCCAAGAATGCAGGAATCAAACTCCCTTAGGGTCACATTAGTGAAGGGCTAGCAAGGCTGTTATTGGAGGCCAACTCACCCACCCCTTCCTCCCTCTATTCCTCTGTCCCTACCCAGGAGAGATGGCACCAGCCAGAACACTATTCTGTCCCCTGCTGCTGCTTCTGCTGGCACTGTGGGTGTCCGAGCACCCCATCAGCGCCAAGCCCAAGGACATGACCTCAGCTCAGTGGTTTGAAACTCAGCACGTGCAGCTGAGCTCAAAGAGATGCGATGTAGCCATGAAATCCATCAACCAGGACAAGAAACGCTGCAAGAACCTCAACACCTTCCTACATGAACCCTTCTCCAGCGTGGCCAAAACCTGTCAGACCCCCAACCTAACCTGCAAGAATGGACGGGATAACTGTCACCAGAGCCCCGAGCCAGTGTCCATGACCAGTTGTAAGCACATCTCTGGAAAGTACCCTGATTGCAAATACAAAGAGGAGAAAACGAAAGCATCCTTCATCATCGCCTGCGATCCTCCCCAAGCAAAGGATGATCAGAATTATCAGCTGGTTCCTGTGCACTTGGATAAAGTCATCTAAGGCCGAGTGGTTTTCACACACAGCCCCACCCCCGCAAACTCCTGTTGCTGCTGCTGGTACTGCATTTCCTCTCTTAACGAATCCTTCCCTTCTCTACAAATACCACTTCCCACCCACACAGCCTTAATTCCACATACTCTTAATTCCAGAGGGGATTTTATGAATGCTCCAAGAATGATAAGAAATAGGAGGAGGGTTTCTGTTGCCTTGTGGTCTCTCAGACACAAAGGATCTTGGCAAGTGGGGCTGCAGGTTTGGTGGGCTTGATGGCAGGTATAATTTCAGAGCTGTCCTAAAGAAAGAGGGTGTATAAGTATAATGCAATAAAGGGATCTTAGGCAGGAAGACTCTCGAAGGAAGGGGTGCTGGGTTTCCTGTATTAGAAAAAGGAATATATCTGATTTTGCTGCAATAAAATGCTTTGTTCTCCCTGATTGAGTGTGTTTCTGATCTGAAGGGAAATCTGGAGGCTTGGAAAACCCTCTTATCTCTATGAGGCATCAGTGTCACCTGCCCTGCTGGAGGTGCAGCCTGGACACTGGTATCCACTGTCCTGAGAGCTCACTGGGCTGAAGCAACAGTACATTGGGTAAGGCACTTGCCTTACATGCAGCCTACCCACCTTGATTCCTGGTGTCCCATATGGTCCCCCAAACACTGTCAGGAGTGATCCTAAGTACAGAACCAGAAGTACCCTGAGCATTATCAATTTTTTATTTTATTTATTTATTTTGCTTTTTGGGTCACATACAGCAATGCACAGGGGTTACTCCTGACTCTGCACTCAGGAATTACTCCTGGCAGTGCTCAGGGGACCATATGGGATGCTGAAAATCAAACCCAGATCAGACGTGTGCAAGGCAAATGCTCTACCCGCTGTACTATGGCTCCAGCCCCACATCATCAATTCCGACCCAAAAAACAAACAAACCAAGTTTTGCATGCAGCTGATCCCAGTTCAGTCCTCAGCACCACATGGTTCCCCCAAGCACCACCAGGAGTGATCCTTGAACACCAACACTCCACATCAGGTGTAGTCCCTGAGTACTGCCAGGTATGGCCCCAAAACAAATTAAAAAAATTAGAGATGCCTGGGGAGAGGGGCATCACTTCTCAGATGAAGGGGGAGGAAAAGCAAGTTGCACTGGAGTATGTTAGTCAGTTGTGAGACCTGACTCCTCAAGTTATTCTTCAAACTAATACCTCTGATTTCATCTGCAATCATTAATGTAACCAAGTGGTGAGTAAACCATGGGGTCTAACGTGGACTTGTCTGAGACTCAGGGATGTGCTTCAGTGGACGTTAGTTCAGGAGGGTGTTGCAGTTCATGTAAGGCCCTCACTTAAGGGTTTTCTGCTCAGGTTTCACCTCATGCCTCATTAATATGACCTGGAACAGGAACCTCAGGCTCTAAACTGAGTTCTCCTCCCTTGGGAATTTCACAGTCGGGAGCTTCCAAGAATCTTGATCTGCTCCTAATTAGTGTTCCTCCATTGACTGGGGTGAGGAACAGTAGGGATGCAATCTGCCCCATGACCAGTACTTGCATAAAATAAAAGACATTACTAGAAATATGAAACAGCAATCAGATTTAAAAAAAAAAGCACAAGTCAGAAAATACTATGATTAGATTCAATTAGCATGAAATCACTCTATTAAATTACCATAAAAGTTTCTTGAAGACCTGGAAATGTGGCTCATCTATAGAGCATCTGCTTTGCAGTTATGAAACCCTGAACTCTCTCCTAGCACAAACCCTTGTGCAGAGTATTATCCTGAGATATCCATGGCCACAAGTGTGTCATCTGCAACCCTCTGCCACCAAGTGGCAACCCCCAGACATGACAACAAAAATCAAAAAAAGAAAACTGGAGAGGGAAAGATTTCTCTAAGCTCTCTTTCATTTTCTATACTTATCTGATACACGGGGTGGTAGGGGGGAATACACAATACAAGCATTCTACACAAATAAACACAATAAAGTCAAAAAAGACATTCAGCCACACTCCTACGTGCTCATGGACACATCCATACTCACAGGGAAGCACTCAACAATAAGGTAGCTTTCTCTTTTCCTCTACAGTGTGGGGTGGGGGAGGGGAGGGGGGAGTGGGCTGGGGATCAAACTTAGGGACAGACACATGCAAGGCAAATGCTCCACCACTGAGATACAGCCTCCCCCCTCCTTCCTGCACCGAATCTGCTTTCTCCTCACACCTCCCTTTCTACATCTAGAAAGAGAATTTACCCGGAAATCACTTATGTGAGCAGCACAAAGACCCCCAGTGAGCCCTGCAACTAGAACCGTGGGTGAGTATCACATTTAAAAGAGTGCAGGGGCTGGAGCGATAGCACAATGGGTAGGGCGTTTGCCTTGGATTCAATTCCCAGCATCCCATATGGCCCCCTGAGAACCGCCAGGAGTAATTCCCGAGTGCAAAGCCACGAGATAACCCCTGTGCATTGCCGGGTGTGACCCAAAAAGAAAAAGAAAAAGAAAAGAGTGCAACCCCCAGCAAGCAGGTGTGCAAGCAAAGCTAAGAAAGAGGCATGGGCCTTAGGGAGCACCAAGGGCAAGTGTGCGGGCACTACTACCTCATGTGCCACCCGACAAGCACCACAACCATGCTCAAGTGTAACATGCCACCCCATACCCCCACCCCGTCATTGCAACAATATCAAAAGAAGGAAGAAAGGGAGATAGAAAATAAATAAATGAATGACAACATGAATTCATTGAGATTTTCCTACATAAACTAGAGCTTAGAATAAGGAAAAGACGTTTGGTGATATGTAAAGTGATACAGAAAGCAGAACATCCAGAAATTCCAACTCCCAGAGTTGGAAAAGAAGAACTGAGGTAGAGAGTTCGCTGCTGCCCACCACAGTCATCATCCCACTCCAAATAAAAGCTTCACAGCATCCAGGCAGCACCCACCCCCCAACTCTGCCCCTCACTGTCACTATTTTGTCTTCTCTTGTGCTTATAACCAAGACGGGCAAACTGGATGATTCTAAGAGAAAACATTCTTCAACTCATTGCCTGGGTAGCTTCACTTCCTGTCTCTGTACCTGAAATGATGGTGTAGGTCAGGATCCTTATTCTTAGCTCCTTTTCCTTCTTACACTACATTCTCCTGAGTGACTTGATACATTTCCTCCAACTGCCACTTAGAAGCTCACAAATGCCATTCTCCAGTCTCATTTTCTAAGCTGCTGGCACACAGGTTCATCTATCTGGTGATTGTCCCCTGGTGTCTATAGCCATCGTAATCCCAAATCTCAGTAGTGGGCTCAACATCTTCCTGATTTATGCAAGTGTTCATTAGCAGAAAAAGCATACCCAAAACATTCAAGGTCCCAATCTAAGAAACATCTATGATTACTCATTCTTTTCTCTTTGTTTACTTTCCCAGCACCCCAGCCCCACCCCACTACCCCACCCCCTCACTCCAGCCAGATCTATGTCAGGGGTTTCTTTTCTCCAAATCTCCTTGGGTTCCTAACATGCACTCAATGCACATTATGACTTTGGAGGGGCTGTGATTTGTGGTTTGTTGTAGTGTAGTGGTGGTGGTGGTTTGGTTTCGGTTTTGGCTTTGGGCTTCCCCAGTGGGGTTGAGGGCTACCCGACACCTTCTAGGGAGGTCATGTGGAGCCCAGGGTGGAACCCAGAGCCCTGTGTGAGCCAGGCATGAGCTCCAATTCTTTGAGCTCTCTTCACATTCAGCCAAACACAATTAAGTAAGCGAAGTTTGGATTTACTATCCAGCTTAGAGGGCAAGAGAACATACTGACTTTGAAACATTATATGAAGGGTATATTGAAGCCAACAGGATTCCATACTATTTTGCTTCCTCTTCCCCTAGGGATTTATTCATCCTAACCTAAAGCATGCTCCCAGTTAAGTGTTAAACTTCCTGTTATATGGAGCAATAGCACAGTGGGTAGGGCGTTTGCCTTGCACGGGGCTGACCCAGGCGACCCGGGTTCGATTCCTCTGTCCTTCTTGGAGAGCCCGGCAAGCTACTGAGTGTATCTCACCCGCACAGCAAAGCCTGGCAAGCTACCTGTGACTGGCAAGCTACCTGTCAAGTATTTGATATGCCAAACACAGTAACAACAAGTCTCACAATGTTACTGGGCCTACTCAAGCAAATTGATGAACACTGGGAGGATAGTGACAGTGACAGTGACATGTTTCTTTTAGCTAACACCAGAGTCAGACAACATCAGGAGAAATTCCAACAGGCAAAGATCTGTAAGAGTTGTGGTCTTACAGTTGTGGTCTTACTCCACATGCTGGAGTGTTTGCAAGAATTCAGAAGAGAGTGGGTCTTTAAATAGATTCACGATATCTAAACAAGTGGTGTGGCAACCTGGGTAGGAGTTTTTGACTTCCGTGAGTAGGATGAAGAATTAGATGGAGTGTAACTTGAAACTAGGGTATATGGGCTGTGAAACTGGTTTATTCCTAGAGTAATGACACAGTGGCCATTTAGAGGATTCATCAGGGAAGCTGGGGTCTAAGAAGAGTGGCCTCAAACTGGGGGTTCAAAATATCTGCTGGTTATGCTTATGGCTCATTGAATATGTGTTTCTAAAAAACACAACCCCACATAGAAACAGACTCTCCAGCCAAATACGACAGCATAATTATTTCCAAGTGGGTAAGTTTGTTTTAATTCCAGAATTTTGTAAAAGTAATGAGAGAAATCTTTTTAAAAAATCAGACACATGGTATTAATGTCTATGGTAAGAAATTTATGTGTTTGGTATTTTATATATTCGCTTGTTTAAGAGAGTTTAGTTTGATATCTGAACTGTTTTTCAATTGACCTTACTTTTTGTTTTTATTTGGGGGTTACACCCAATTGTGCACAGGGATAATTCCTTATCTTGTGTTCAGGATCCTTCCTGGCAGTGCTTGAGAAATTATATGTGTACTGGGATTTGAACCTGGGTCATCAGCATATAAGACCAGCGTCCTATTCTTTGTATTATCTCTCCAGCCCCATGGTCTTTTAGTTATAATTCAAAATGTGTGATCAGTATAGATATGTGACTTAAAATGGAACTTTCCTTTAAATTAGCTTTGTGGGGCTGGAGAGATAGTAGAGCAGGTAAGGCACTTGCCTTGCACACAGCCAACTCAGACTCATTCCCCAGCACTCCATATAGTCCCCAAGTGGAACCAGGAGTGATCCCTGAGTCAGAGGCAGGAGTAAGCCCTTAGCACAGCCAGGTGTGGCCAAAACTTAAATGAAATAAATTACT